TGTGCTTATTGTTTTCTAGTGGAAGTTTGTACTGATATGGTAGGTTTAATTTTCCTCTGGATGTGAGTTGTAGAGAATTGTTTTTTTGCATCGTAATTGCCAGGCAATATCCATGGTATTGCAGGTGTTCCTGCTGTTGCCACTTGTTTGGAGGTTTTTTAATGTCTGAGTTCCCTGCTGGATTATATTTCCATATTAGTTTTGGTAACTGTTGTTGTTAATTCCTTGAAGGTTATGTTGCCATAATGTTTCAGAGTTTTCTATTTGTTCTGGTATGTAAGTCTTTAGTTTTGTAGCTTCTTTGTAATGTCTGTTTGTTTGTCAGTGTTTCCTTTCTTGTTTCTCCTGCACTGTGTCTCAGGAACGTCATATGTACTTTGAATGTCATAGACACTTTCTTTTGTATTTTTTTGTTTGTCTCTCTGTTTTGTTGTTTTTGTGTCAGACATACATAGCTATAGGTCTAGTGATTATATTGTGAATTTTTAGTTTTGTTTGTTTGGCATTAATGTCACTGAAAAAGTATAATTGATAAAAGATTAATTGTTGTACAGATTGCATTTGTACTTTTGTAATTGCTTGTGGGTGAGGTTAAAAGCACTAATGATATTTCAAAGATATGAAAATTTGTTGATATGTTCCACTATTTATTTGTCCATTTATCATAATGAAGACTTGTATGTTTTTTGCGTTGCAGAGCCATAACTTGTGATTTTTGAACTGATAGTTTGATGGAATATTTCTGATGGTCTTTTGTGAGGTCGAAAAGTGCTCTTAGTAGATTGTCTTGAAAATCTGTTTTCATTGACTGTGTATAAAATTGTACTTAAATTTTTTTTTTCCTGATCTGGATTTTCTTACTCCAGTTTGTGAGTAGGTGACACATACCTATGTTAGGCTGCTGCTGGTTATGTTATGTTATGTTATGTTATGTTATATGAGTGAAATTTATATATGTTGTTATGTGTGATATGAAACTAGAATAGTTTAGTTTGATTTCAGAATCTTGATAATGTAATGTATGAGTATGGTGTTGAAATAGTTTTTGCTTTCACTTGAAATGTGTATTTATATTTGAATTTCAAAGAATTTATGCTTTGTTTTATTTGTATGTTCACAGATGAAATGGGTAAAGGAGGAAGTGTTGCAAAAGTCTGGTTTTTGTGTTTTGAAGAGAAGAAATGTTGTGGAATGTGAATTTTTGTAATTGTTTTTAAGATATTGAAATGTAATGAGTAAATACTTGAGTATGTAAATAGTTTTGGAATTTAATAAATTGTACAAATTTGTATAATGTTTAAATGTTTAAATGTTTAAATGTTTAATTCTTATATGATCCTCATTAACCAACTTGAACATCCTTTAAGATGTATGTAATGATCCTTTATGTCAAAATTAGTTAATTGGTATTAAGTTTCTTTCAGGGTTTTCCCAAGTTCATTGTCTCGGTCTGGTTTTCATTTTGTTTAATGATCTCCTTTTCTTTAATGAAATAAAAGTGTTATTTCTTAATAACCTTTTTTCTTAAGCTTTCAGGTGCCTAAGTTTACATTTGGTCAAACGATAGCCTTCAAGTAACCAAATTAAGTACCCCAAACTTACCATTTCTTAGTATGTGCAAATTTAACCTTTCTTACAAGTAAGTTTTCTTCAGAGTGCAAAGTTGTCTTTAAAGTTTCCAGTGGTTTGATCCCTTAATTGCTTATGTAAACCATGTATCATATCATACCATAGCTTACCTTAGTGTCGATATTCATGTTCGTTGAGTTTCATTTAGTTTCAAAGTTTGTTCTAGTGTGTTTGTTTGTGCTTCAAAATTTTTGCAGTCCTAGTTTCAAAGTTAATTCCTTTAGTCACCTGAAGTTCCTAAGCATAGAAAGTTCTCCTTCAAAGTTCTCCTTCAAAGTTCTCCTTCGGAGTTCT